TTCATTGGCTTTTTCAAATTACTCACTTCACTTGGAGTATTCAACCACACTGGCGTTTTGAGGTTTTCCTTAGATGAAACACTGGTGTGGTGAAAGTGTCAACGGTGGGCAGTATTTGAGCTATGGCAGAGATAAATTTTTAAAAACTTGCATAGAAATGTTAAGGGGTGCCATGGCTAAGGCTGGATTCCCTTTTACCAGCAACAAAAGCAAGTAGAACAATAAACTCTACAATTGCCATCAGCTGTTCTTTCTCACGTTCTTGGTGAGATCAGCTAGAAGATAACAGTTATCAGAGGTGAAAGGCCTGAACCTGGGAGTGGTGGCCTCTCCTGACATGTTCCCCTGAGACATACGGACCTGCGGCTGGTTGACAGGGGCAGGGCGGGCGGGGGGTAGAGGATGGTTTTGCTATTTGGAGAAACCTACAGGTCACCATGTTTCCAGCTGTGATCACCTGTGCTTTGAACCCACTCACAGGGATTGAGGGGTGATGGTAGAAAAGAGGTTAATCAGGGCAGAGTCCTCTTTTCACAACCAAAGGTATCCCCAGGAGTGTTTTCAATCTCTTCGTGGTTGGATAGTCTTGGAGGCCCCACAGCTGTACCCAAACCTGCGGTACACAGCCTGAGGAACTCTGGGACACACATTAGGGTAAAAAGACACATACTAGGTAAAAAGAGATTCTACCAATTTAGCCTGTTATAGGCACCGCAAACCAACTGTGGCATCCTTTTAAAAGACAGAGCAGAAGGAACTTGTACCAAAGAGTTAGGTTTACTGTGGTTAGTCACCTTCTCCAAGTGTGACACACCAAAAGGATCTGTCCACTTGGAGGCCTGGGAGAGCGCCCTCTTTCAAGAGCCTCGAAACAAGGAAGAATTAAACAGTCATCAGCTGAAAAAAAAATAAGGGTTTGATTTTCTTTCACCTGAATGCCTAGCAAATGTTCTTAGGAATGTACTGAAAAGTTATGAAGGCCTGTCAATGAATTTGGGTGTCTGTAACAAAAGCCAAGTTAGAGGAGTCTGTTAAGCCCTACAGTGCAGTGACATGTTGAGAGCAGGGCCAGGAAACCACACGGCACAGGACAAGTACCTAGTGGATGCGCATCTTGCAACTATGGAAGCCTTCTGTTTTGCTTACTAAATTTCAGGAAAATGGATGATGGCTCCTTGGTCATTGCTTTATAAATAGAATCTAATCTTCTCTCCCGAGACCTTGGATACTTCCCAGAAATTACTCATCTACTCCTCTATTACCTTTATCATCTATTACCTCTCTGTATGCCACACACCTAGCCCAGCATCTGCTCATGGAGTGAATGAATACAGGAATAAATATGTCACTGATGAGCTTAAAGCAAACAGTGTGCGCTATGTGTGTACCCTCAAGAAATTCTTAAGGATGAAAGATCATTGGATAAGAGGTTCTGGAGTGGGGCCAGCACAACTGAATTTTAACAGAATTTTCTGGGACATCCACAAACATCTAGACATTTAGAAATCATTGTCCTAAACTAACTTTGCTGACCTGGGTTCCAACACTTTCAGAAAATGGATTCTCAAAATGCTGTGAACTTTGGAGATCTAATAGTCAATTTCAGCCTGAGTTTCCTGGATGTGTGTTAGGCAGAAGAGAGCCTCCAGACAGGGAAGCATCCTGAGATTTTCAGACCACGGGGGCAGAATCCCAGTGCTAAACATCATAACCATGGAATCAGAGGTGCCCATCTCAGGGAGTAAGAGGTGGGCCGCTACCTTAGGCAATCAGTGTGCTGGTAGGGACATGGAAGGCTATTTCTGTGTGCTCCAGGGAACCTGAAAAAATCAAACAGAGCTGGGGCCCCAAGTTAAGTTGGCTTACCAAGCTAGGATGCATGGAAGAAATTTCTTCATCAATAAACCAACCAAGAAGCATAGGCCCAACCCCTAACAGAAAGCAGGTGCACTGAATCAATTGGAATTGAGTCATAGATAAAATTAATTTAATGTGTTTAAATGATTTTCCGTATAGTAAACATGTTGAGTGAGGGTGCCCCAGAATAAAGTGTCTGCCTGAGCATGGAAAAATGGATACCATGCATTCCGTGTAATGAAAACCCTTCAGCAAATGGAAAATGCTTCTATTTATTTCCATCTTCCCCCTTCCTTTCCTTTCTAACTCTTTATTGATAGCTGAACTTGGCCTTCTGTGGTCTTTTTGAACCACAGAGGCACTTTTTATTTGTCAGAGGACGTCCTTTCTTACAGTGATTAGAAGACAATTTTAATGAAACCTGTCTGCTACCCAGTGCCAAGCACTTATTAGTAAGTGACAAAGGGGATAAGGATGAAGTAAAGCAGTGCAGAACTAACTCACTCTGTAGCCTTTCTTGATAACAAGGGACTTGCACAAAGAGAAGGGAGGAGCATGGAATTGAGGAGAGGCGCAGCCAGTGTGGTCACCATCCTGCGGCTGCCAAACCACCTCCCCGGCTGACCTCAGCTACTCATCTTCAACATGAGAGTGTTGAATATGAGTATCCTGAAAGCTGATTTCAGCTCTGACATTCACTGAATTATGAGTCACAGGCAGGTGTCAAGGAGTCTCCCATTAAAAAGAAATTCATCTTCTAGCCCTGCAAAGCATTTGAGGCACACTTATCTAATTGCTCAAGTAGGGATTATGTATTATCTGGCTGAGATGAAAGGGCACACTTCGAAGTGGTTATAAATGGTCTCCCACGAAGCTACTCCCAGGCATTTAGGCAAAATGCTGAGTTCTAGGAATAGAAAGATGATAAAATACTTTCAGATTCTGGAGCTCTCTATCCATTTCACCCCTGGTTACTATGAATTCATTCTATGGAACAAAAAGGTGGTCATAAAATAAACATACCCACATTTACAAACTGGCCCACTTCAATGCTACTCCTCTCTGAGTCCTGACCCGTGAATATGTACAGTATAATCAGGGAGAATGGACCTCGGAGATGTGGTGCTGGGGATTGAACCACTGTGTCCTGCATGCTACAAGGGCTCTGCTACTGAGCAACAACGGCCCCATCCTTTTTTGTTTTTTGTTTTTGTCCTGCCAAGTTGTCCAACCTGGCCTTGAACTTGTGACCCACCTGCCTCAGCCTCTCTACTAGCTGAGATTACAGGCACATGCAATCGTGTTCAGTTTTTGCAGATATTTTGACCGACGCTCTGTGCAGCCTTTATGGGAGTAGCTGGGTTGCAGACAAAAGGAGCTTTGGCAGAAGGGCATGAACAGAGAGGGCTCTGGACTCCTCTGCTAACTGAGAAGCTTCACATTTCATATACTTCATGAGAGATTTGTGTGATAAGGGGTTGTGAGGATAAAAAACTATTTTAAAGCCAGGATGAGGAAAGCTTTCAGTTTCCAGCTTGAATCCAGGCTATGCTATAGAAACACTCATGGCCAGTAACTGCACGGACTCCTTATTTCTGAACTGTGGGAGTGGATATCCAGGAGTTTCAGACATTCCTACCCAGAACCCGTAGAAATTGGCTGCATTTTTTAGCAAAGTTCGAAGCCTCCCTTCAAGCCACAGCAGGGATCACCTGGAGAGTATATTAAAGACCAGGTGTTTGGGTCTCATTCTCAGAGGCTGGTTCAACAGGTCTGGGACCCTACAAAGTACTTGGGTAAAGTTGGCCACATCTTGAGAATGGTCACCATATAAGATCAGAGCCAGGCTCTTCAGCTTGACCTTTCAAGTCCTACTAACTTGCCAGCCCTACCCTATAGTTTCCTAGCACTGCAGGTAGGTAATGGTGTCCCTCCTGTCCCACACACTTCCCCACCCCCGCCATGCTCTGACCTGGCCAAGCTTCTGGCCACTTCTTGCAGTCTAGTTCCTACCACTGCTCATGGCACAGCTCAAATGCCACTTCTCCCTGAGTCTCACCCCTGTGTGTGGACCACGGGCTCCATGTTGCTTTGGTGTCCACAGCATTGTGCCCAGCTTCAGCACCCACACAGGGCCTGCTGAGCACAGCCACAACAAGCCTAAGCATATCCATGCTGGATATAGACATTAGGAAATATTCCAATCAGCCTCTCCTGTCTATTCGTCTTAATATCCCAGGACAGACTCATTCTCAAATGACTAAGTTAGAGTACCAGACAGCATGTTAGCTCATTGAAATCTACTCTTAGTAAATTTGCTATATTTTCTAGGAGAACGTACAGAGCTGGTAGCAAATACATCATAAATCATAATAAACTACCACTTACACCCATTCCCAGAACACAATGTAATACAGCAACTAAGACCTAGGCCCGGGTTGGACCCTTAGTCCTGCCTTGGATTAGCTATAGAACTCAAATTCTCCAAGCTTCACGTTCCAGGTTGTTAATGTAGATTGTGACTGCATCTATTACTGATGAGTCACAAAGAAAGCAATGAGACCATTATTAATGGCAATAGCTGGCACTTCCTGGGTGCCCTGCATTGGGCATACATTATTGAGTCTAGTCTACATGACATACTTATGCACAGTACTACTGTTAACCAGATAAGAAATGAGGCTCAGAGCAAGGGGCCAGCACTGCAAACAGTAGCAAGTTGTGCTGTGAAATGACTTATGGTTATAACCACTTTGTAAGGTACGCAATATTCCTATTGCAGGAATGGAAATTCTGTGTTTCAAAGAAAGCAACTTGGAAGCGAAGACCCAGGATTTGAACCTGACTGTGTCTAGAGATCCCCCTGGCCTGCTTCACCCATCACCTAGTGAAAATGTACCTGCACCAGAATATCTGCTCTTAGCCCTTCTTCTTCCAGAGTTAAGGCGTTTTCCCAGTGCGCCAGAGAGCACACCCTGGCCACCCTCCTTTCAACAGCCCTGCAACTGGTGGCCCATTGGAAGCTGTTTCAGTAACTCCAGAGAACAGGCCACATGCATGTAAAGTGTGGGACAGCCTTTTTCCTTGTCTCCCCATCCACAGAGGGCACTAAGGAAAGGAGAGGGCAGCTGCGTGGTACTGACCGTGACCCCAAAGAAGTTGGTCTCGTTCATGGCGCTGAGGATGATCCTGCCCAGGGTGTGGTCGGTGTAGTTGAAATCCTGGATGCGCTGGTGCCGGCTGCTGGCGTGCAGCGTCTCCATGGCCCTCTGCAGCGTCTTGGCGATGACCCAGATGCCATCATAGGCATAACCATGGAACTTGCTGGGCCCCACGCCCGATCGCTTGCTGTTGTACTCTCTCTCATACTGCTGTGGGGTCTGGAAAAGCAAAGGGGCAAGGGTACGAAGTTACAGAAGGGGCACCTCGCATGCCGACGCTCTTCAATGCCCGCTGGGCACCCGGCATAGTGCTGGGCTCTGTATTCATTACCTCATAGAGTGGGTGACATTCTGTCCCCATTTTACAGACTAGGAAATCCATCAGAGGGCCACATGGCTCTGAGCAACAGGGCTGATACGGAACCCTGTTTGACTGCAAGACCAAGGAGAGGGGAGAGTGTACCCTAAGCAGGAGTCCTTTGATATCTGCAGGGCCTGGACTATGGCACCCATGAAGCCCACACACTGTATGTCTAGATATTTGAATTATGGACAAGTCCATACATGTTTAAGACTCATTTTCTATCCTCCACTATAATGAATATACTTTCAAAATGATCTGAAAGGCCCAGATTGAATTCAGAATCCGGGACTCCTCAGAGCTTCAGACTAGATCAAGTAAATAGTGATTTGCTCCGTGGATTACCCTTTCCCCCGCCTTCCCCTCTCCTCCCTTCTCTTCCCTCCTTTGCTCTCTCCTCTCTCCTCTCTCCCACCTTCTTTCCACTCCCCTTTCTACCCTCTTCCTGTCCCTTTCTTCCCCATTTGCTCCAGCTTGCAGTCCAGCCAGGTTCAGTCCACAACTTCTTCTCTTCCCTGAGTCTCAGGCACCTCAAACCACCCTAGAGACAGAGGCTCGAGAACTGGGGCCAAGCTTCTGAATGAGGCTACCCAGGGAGTCCATTACCCACCACCCCTCCTGAGCCTTTTCTCAAATCATTTGTGACCTCCTGGGCCAGAAATGTCATCAGAGTCCTCAGCTTTATCTTTGGAAAAACCCTTCTTGGGAACAAAATGCATAGAGAAACCATGGACTCATCAGTTTTCACTGGGAAGGATGATCGCACAGGCCCCCTCTGTCACAGCCTGAAGCAGCAAAGATATTCAGAGACTTGTCCAAGGTCACATACAGACACATGTGCGTACACACACACACACACACACACACACACACACACAGAGGTGGGGGCGAAGTGTGTGTGTGTGTGGGAGAGAGAGAGAGAGAGAGAGAGAGAGAGAGAGAGAGAGAGGCAATGGAGCCCCCATTCCACCTCTGCTACTGCTTCTGTGTTTGACTTTGAGGTTACCCTAGGTTTTGAAAACTAGTGCAAGTTGTTTAGGGCTAGGTGTAGTGTCATGGTTTATGTCAGTGGCCCCCAAGCCTCATGAGTTATGGACTTGTCCAAATCCAGCATTTGTGATTGGCTCATTGTCTAGCCCTCAGATTGGTGGTGTGAGTGCTACACCTGCTTAGGGGTGGAGCCAGGATGTGATGTAATGGCAACAAGAATGTGTGTTTCCCTTGCCAGTTTTCGCCTTGCTGTTTGCAGCTGCTAAGAAGGGCTGCCCCGCCATGCTACCCTGCCTTGGAGCTAACTGAGTATGGACTGAAACCTCCAAGAACTGTAAGAAATAGACTTTTCCTTCCCTAACTTTGGGTGTCAGGTATTTTGTCTCAGTGACTACAGTAAAAAGTAACTAAGACACCCAGTAGTAATCCAGGCAGGCAGCAAAGCTAGGCCATCTGGCCCCAGCTGGTCGCTTGGAGGGTTACCATCCAGGTGCCTGGGAGCCAGTGCCAAATGCCCCAGCTACAGCCCTGCAGGCAGTGTGCCTGCCTGACCAGTGTGCACCGTGTCCCAGCCGGTGGTCACCTCCTTTCCTGACTCAGGTCCCAGTGGGGCGGCTTGGGTTTCTCTCTCTCAGTTTCCCTTGGAAACATAGCATCGGCAGCCACCACTCCCTGTGTGTCACTCAACACCCATGGCAGGCACAGACTTTAACTTTGGGGTTTTTCAAGGAGATGAGCATACCTCCTGGACAGCCCAGCTCCTCCATTCACACCACAAGGCTACTCTGTGCCCTGTCCATCCCTCTGTCCTGGCTGGCTTCTGAGGGGCTGCTGCCATGCTCGGCCATTCCCACTCCTGCAGAAGCCTCAGACAATTCACTGAGAGATGTCTTCTCTTCCCAAGACCCTCAGAGTTCTTCCTTCCTTTCATGTTTGTTCATCCTCACCCCAGCTGCTGCACTCTGCTAGAAAACTCCATCTTTCATCACTTGGTTATATTTTCTTTGATTTTTAGATATGATTTGATCTATTTCTGGCTAATAATTTATCTATTGGCTAATTTTAAAGTATTTAAAAATTACTTGGGTTGTGCTTCTCTAATTGCTTTAAGCATGAAAAGAATGATCCCCTTTGACTTCCTCTATCCTCTTGGCTTTTGCTTCTATAGCCCTTCTCTGATATACACAAAAGCATCTGAGGACAGGTAGTGCCCTGTTAGTCAACTTTACATTGCTATAGCAAAATACCTGAGACAATCAATTTATAAAGAGAAAAAAATCTCTTTTAGCTTATAGTTTTGGAGGTTCCAGTCCAGGGTCATCTGACCCATTATTTTGGCCATGATAAGATAGCATCACAATATGGATTCTTGGTGGAGCAAAACCACTCATCCCAGGCCAAGGAGAAAAGAGAAGGAGCTAGGATTTTACTATCCTCTTCAGGGCTCACTCTCAATGACCTATGGAGCTCCCTCTAGGTCCACCTTCCAAAGGTTCCACCCCTAATAGTGACACTCTGGGGACCAAGCCTATAACTTATGGGACTTTGAGGATATACTTATCTAAACCATAGCTTGATTTTCATTTGTTTCAGCCAGTGATTACATTCAGGTGACCTTCTAGCCAGATTCTTAACCAGAACATGTCCTGGGGCATCCTTTAAGGTATCTATGGTTCCTTTAAAGCAGAGGGCCCAGATAAGGGGTGGACCTTCCAAGTACAGTCTCATCATCAGGAGGTAACTGAGTACTGTTTTAATCCTTCCTTTATACAGTTTATATGTGCACAAGGGAACAAGAAGAGAATCGAGATCAGTTTGGCTTGGGGGCAACATAGCCCCTATAAACACTTATCACATATGCACCTGTGAATTCATATCTTTTCTAACTTACAAAACTGTTCTCAGGGACAAGCAGTAGCACTCAAAATATGGCCACTCGAATATGGCTGTTTACCATATTTCAGTGAGTAGTCCTTGAAATGGGACACAGGTGTAGCTAAGCTGAAAGGTGACCTCATTCTTACTGTCTTTACATCCCAGCCATTCATCACTGTTCTCAGGTGATGCCAGCACCCGTCTCCCTTGGGCCAAACAATGACAGCGGGAAGAAACTCTTACAATTGTTGCAGAAAAAGTAGTAGTTGTTCCTAAAGCAGTCTTCCAATTATTCGAGGCCGAAGAATTTCTTCCATTGTAATGCCGACACTGAATGCTGATTAATTACTCATGCTCTAAGGTCAAGTTTATCATGTGTTGCTAAGGTTTTGGAATATATATATATATATATATATATATATATATATATTCCTTCTTACTGACAGGTTGTGCTTCAGCATATTTTTGAAAGGCAATTGTTGGAACTTGTAACATATTTTCCCATAGAAACCATGTTATAAATAGTGGTTAGGTTCCCAGGATAACCCACACAAGCTTGTTAACCCTACAGTGTGACTAAATGTGATGGGTTTGTCATTCCAACACAATCACGTTGAGTCCTACTTCGAGGGGCTGGGGAGCCTCATGGACAAGAGAAAGGATAACAGGGAGAAGCTCCTCTTCCATAGTTTTGACTAGTTCCTACCCCAGAGGTAGAACTGGCAGAATTCCTCTCCAGAACCCTTGTGGCATGTCTGATCTCAGCACCTCACTGGGAAGGTGCAAACAGGCACAGCTAGTTTCCTTCAGTCTATGAGATCATTTGGCTAACTTGTTAAAAATGTAAATTTCAGGTACATTTTGTTTCAGTATGTTAATAAGTGTGTTCACTTAGGCATCTATAGGTTTATGAATAATTTCTTATTGCAAGCATACATAAATTGGTGATCACTGATTATGTCCTGCAACATGATTGCTCCAAGTCATTTTTGGCCTACTCATGGCAAGGAAGCTCGCTGTCTCTTCAGGCTGAGCCTCCCGCCTAAGGAATGTGTGGTGTTCAAGACACTGCTCTTCTAGTGAAGAGCTGACATCGGCCTCCTTGTCACTTGGGGTCAACATGGCACATTTACCTGTGCAGCCATGCAACACATCTGCTCCCTCTCATGAACAATACCCACCTCCCAACTCCAGGGACATGCTTACCCCTTCCCCAAGTCACATCCACCTCCTGTCAAGCAAAATAATCTCAGTTCAGACTTCTATTATGAATGAGATGACATAGCTTATATCAGACCAAAACTTTCATCAACAGCATTGAAAAGAGAAGAATAAAACATAAAAATAGCTTTTTATAGATACCCGAGAGAAATCCTGACAGGCAGGAGTGAAAAGCCAACATGCTGGAGGGAAGAGAAATGCTTTGGGATGGGCCCAGCATCCTGGCTAAGGCACTGGCTGGTTTGTAATCAGGGAGGCTCACTGTGGAAATAGCAAGCATTGAACCAGTTTTTAGCAGCCTCTTGATGGGGGTCAAAATACTAGCTCAAGGGTACCAAGTTACTCATACTGGAAGGGCCCAAGGCCCATGGAAAGGAAACCACAGAAAAAGGAGCCCAGCATTATAAGAGGCATTATTGTTGACATATTTGGTAACTAAGTTAAAAAAAAGAAAGAAAGAAAGAAAGACTGAGATACGAGGCAAAAGGGCTAAGAAAATAAAAGGAACTGTTTGGGATTTCATAGCATTGGGAAGACAACACCCCAGGATTTCAGTAGAGAGCGCTGATGGGTCATACAAAGAACAACAGCAAACCAAACTGGCCAGGTCTTCCAACACTAAAATCAAACCTGTAATCAGCTTAGTTCCTAGATGAATTAGTAATTTAGCCACCTGCTTGAAGAGAAACAAGTATTTCCTGGTGGAAGACAAAGACTACTCGTAGCTGTTACAATTTTGTATATACGATGCATTTGATTGAATTTTACCAGG